CCGTTTAGTCATGCTGGATCAGGGGTAGTAAACTCGGCGATCGTGGGTTCGATTCCCACACGGGGCAAGTTTTTTGTTTTTTTCTTTTTATTTCTTTTTATTTTTTTTTAAAGGTCATGGGTTCGATTCCCACACGAGCCAGTTTTTTTTTTTTTTTTTTTTTTTTTTTTTCTAGTTGATGGTGGATAATGAATAGCAAACATGGAGGTTGTGTGTTCGATCCCCAAACGAACCAATTTTTTTTTTTCTTTAAGGCAGTTCAGTTGATGGTGGATAATTTTCCGTAAATTTTTGGGGGCTTTGCCCACCCCCTAGACCACTTTCGGAATCTTTTAAGAAACGCACGACCACGCCCACTTTGCTCTCGTCAGGGAAATCTTCCCCCTCGTTGGGGAATCCCCCTCCCCACCCACGTCGGGCAAATCCTGATGCCACCGCTGGTAAGAAAGAACCTAATATGAGAGCTAGAACAGTGCTTATTTTTATATTATAATTATAATTGGGGGAAGGGGGTCGCAATTTTCTACTCTTTCCCCCCGGGCGTCAAAACCTCTAGCTACGCCACTGAAAATTCGTCATCATCACATCACAATTATTTTTCAGAATATTTTATTAGCGATTTTCGGCAACTATAATATAGAGACCTAATAATATGTGTAATCCTACCATAGAAAATAAAAATTTAAATTGCCTTTGATGTACTTTACCAACTTCAAAGCCGTAAGTCCACACCAACCCCAACCCCACTATGGTTGAGACTAGTGCGAAAATTTGAGGAAATAGTACCTCAAGCTGGCCGGTGTTTTTTGTGACCCCGGTTCAAAGTAAATAAAATAAATGAAATAAAAGTATCGAGCGCCACCTATTGCGCTTTAAGGAGTTAATGGCGTCATAGGTGATAGGTCATAACACCGGTCCCATCCTTCCTCTGCAAATAAGTTGGGGATGGCTGCGAAAATTCTTTTAGCAGAATCTGTTAATTTTCTGCAAGTTTGTCGATTTTCATTTTTTAGTGCAAACCATGTAAGTAAATAGAACGGCCAGTGTTTAAAGACGGCTTAGGCCTAGGCCTCGCTAGCCTGGCCCTAGGGCGAGGCTAGGGCGCTTGTCTAGGCCTCTACCTACCTAGGCCTAGGCCTGAGCCTAGGGGCCCTAGCCTAGCCTAGGCCTACCTATTTGAGCTGACTAATAATTAGATAGTGCTAAGCTAGCTAGCTAGGCCTACTAGGTATACTTCGGCCGCCGACAATATCACCCGCCACCGATCGAGTGCCAAAAAGTATGGAGCGCCGATAATGCTGTCTTTTTGCTTGCTTTCAATCAAAGAGCGCTCCTTTCAATCAATGAGCGCTCGCTGTTGTGTTCATTGTTTTATGCCAATTAAGCAATCAAGTTCATTCATTGTGTGAATCAACAAACATTAATTGTATAAATATAAAATACAATAATGCACGTGTCAATTGTACCCCCCCCCCCCCGGACCCAGGCCATAGTGTGGCACTTGCCGGGACTGAGCTGGGGATGTACACATAATTGTGTCCCCGTAGTGCCGGGACGTGCCTAAAATTTACCCGTAGATGTAACAGGCCGCTCGAAAGGGCCGGGAATTTTACACGTAGTTCCGGTTTTGTTCGGGTGTGTAGGCCTAGTCTAGCGCTGTCAAACCGGGCCTGGCATTCAGTCAACACTCTGTTTTGGTAATTAAAAAATCACCTACCGGTACTTTAGGTCTACCATCATGGTTTCATTTTTTATAGATCACGGTATAAATTACATAAAAAAAACTGAACCTCCAACCTCACAACGCTGAGGACCGAGGTGGTGGCGCGTGTGAGTAGTGTGTTGCGCCAAAAATATGCCAGTACGTGAGCCAAGGCAAGGAAACCTTTTTCTACTATTGTAATGCATTCATTTTCTTATTTAAGCCTAATTTCTGTTTTGATATTGAATAATTAAGTTTTATCAATCAGTTATTATTCAATCAATCAATTATTTTCTTTTTCTATAATCAATCTGTCAATCTGTCTCCTTTTTTTTTCGCACTTTTCCAAACTTCCATGCTGCATAGTGATACGCATGCGTAGTGCTTCCATCAAGCAAGCTCATCTACTTGGCCTAGCTCCTGCCTAGCTCTCACATGCTTTTCCGATTTAGACCTAGACCAGATTTTCGTACCTCCTTGCTTGAAGTAGGTCTTATCATCCATTTTCCGGGATTACGGTGGTAAGTGGCGGGGACTTAGCTGGGGGATACGTTAAAACGATGCCCCGCACTGCCGGGAGGTGGCTGGGACTTTTACATGCATGTAACAGTTTTGAAAATTACTTCCCGGCTAAGTCCCCGCTAGACCCGGGTCCGGGGGACCGGGACTACAATTGACATGTGCATAAAAGTCAGATGTAAAAGGTCAAAGATTACACGTTTTTTGTGCCGGCCATATTTATCCTACTTTACCTTTATAACATTTATGAGTATAAATATATAATAAAAGTGATGGAAATGAACAAGGATAAAATGTTTTTTAGCATTAATTGCGCTATATTTTGTATTCTACTTTACTTTTATAAGGTTTATGAGAATTTCTTCACAAATAATAAAGTATATAATGTCATTTATTATTGTGATATTGATTTTAATAATCATTCATTAGTAACTCTATTTTTAAGGTTGGGTTTTATGGTTTGTATAATGTACAAGTTTAAAATATGAACGATAGACAGGTAATTAGATGAAGAGCTATGCTTGAAAAACGTATTATTTCGAATAATGAAAATATTGGCAATATCACACTTTACGCTTTAGCGTTATTATATATTTGTGTATAATATAGTACAACGGCCAAACCATGCTTAGTTTAAGGAGTAGGATTAGTTAAGTATCATTATATTTGTATTATCTTAAGCGCATAGAGGTCTCTATGATATGCGCTCTATAAGTAGACTATTATTATTATTATATATTATATTTGTGTATACATTGCCTTTGCAGCCGCTCTCTTTTTATAGGTAGATAGAATGTATTAAAAACAAATTTTATTCCCACATCAAAAAATAAGACAGTAGAATTAATTCATGCAGTTCTGTATTTATGCTTTTACTTTGTCATTAATTGAAATAAACTGCTTAAAATAGGCAACAAAATACAAATACTGCAAGTTGCCTGTAAACTGTACTGCAAGTTGCCTAGTAACAGTGAAATCAGTAAGTAACATTCCAACAAGTAGGTTCCCACAATGATATTGGGAGAAGCAGACACAAGGTCAGTCACCTAGTAGTTTGATTCTTTGTACGTTGCCAATTCAGGAATGTAGGCGCAATAATGCTGCTGTTAACTAGCCGCGAGAATAACCAACTGGCTTGTTCTAGCCTGCAAACATGTGATATATACTTTATTTAGTTGCTTTTGCTTTTAAAACTTACGAAGTTTTATGAATAAATTGTGAACAGACATTTAACACGGATGAAGGAAGGAAACAGATGAAACATGTGCACCTATTTTTCTAGAGATTTTTGCGCAAATTTGAATTGGTTTTTGATGTATCCCCGCAAAATATTTTAGAAGTGGCAAGTTAGCGTTCAAATTTATTAAGATCTGCAGTAAACAGGTTTAAAAAAAAACAAAAAAAACGTACACTGCGCTATACTAAGGTCGCCCAAACAAATTACAAGGTAAAACACAGTCCTGGCTGACTGGACTTGGTTAGAGCAGCGCGCAAACATCAGATAGAAGACGGTACCGTAGTTGATCGTGAGAATCAATATCTTGATGGGAATGGGACAACAGATTTTAAACACGCAATAAGAAAACAATCAAATAACATTCACACACGATATAAATGATATCAATACATACCGTATATTTTATTTGTATTTCTTTTTATCATAAATTATTCAATTTAAAAAAAAGAAAACAATTAGGCTGCTTATTTAGTTGATCGCGAGAATCCACCTTGCTACAATCAAATACAGTAGCTGGTGAGGGATAATGTCCCATATGGCGTGCCATACAAATTCCACGCAGCCAAAGTTGTCGGCGGCCGAAGTAGTCTTATCCCGGCTCTAGTAGTAGTAGTACTCACTGACTTGGACCAGAGCCCCTATATATAAAGAGTTGCGACATTCCGCCCCTCGGTTTGCGAAACTCACGTGGTACACAACGTCCATTTTTGTGTCCAAATCTTCTTGATGAGCACATTACAAAGTATATGAGTTTAGGTATGTTATTATTACATAGTATTAGTATTTTCACAAGTTTAATTGCGTTTAAACACATACAAAGTATATGAGTTAGGTACAGTATATTATTATTACATAGTATTTTCACATGTTTAATTGCATTTATGATGTTATTACTTAATAATAACTATTTAATATCAAAAGCATGATTAGAATTTATCTTTAGAATTTGTATACGTGTGCGTGTTCATGCGCACTTGATAATTAAATGCGAATTACATGTAATTACATAGAAATTATAATTAGAACGTGGATCACATTGGACAGAGAACACGGATTGCGTTGGACACAGAATGGCTTCTAAATTCTCAATGTTGCAACTCTTTCTAACTCTTTCTATCTATGGCTCTGGTTCGGACGTGTTCATAATTTCATGTATTATCGCTAAGAAAATTCGCAGTTTTTCATTAGGCCATCGATATCTCTAGTTAATGGAATCGAGTTTCTAAACCGTTCTTTATTAAGGTTTGATGCTTCATGTTGCTTCTCACCTTTATTGTTACTTTTTTTTTCTTTTTTTTTTTTTTTTTTTTTTTTTTTTTTTTTTTTTTTTTTTTTCTTTTTTTTTTTTTTTTTTTTTCTTTTTTTTTTTTTTTTGCTATTTAGGCTACGCTAGGAATACGCTCATGTCCGAGATAACCGAAACTCTACAGGTGCCAGCTGGGGTTTTAGACCCATAGCTAGCGACTAGAGTGTTTCGGTGAGATTAAGATTTAATTCAAATTATTTTCAAGGGTTTTCTATTAAGGCTGTTGTGTGCATATCACCAACCATTGCTGTTCTAGCAATTTTGTATCGTGTGCATATCACCAACCATCGCCATGCTAGGCCTAGTAACTTTGTATTGATTTTCCCTCTCTTAAACTTGTCTGGATTGGGATAGTTTGCACACTCTTGGGTATTGTAATTAATATTAAAGTACAGTAATTAACTTTGTCACAAAAAAAGTGCTAAACCAAAAGCTAGGTTACCTAAACCAAAGCAGGATAGGAGTTCTAAAAAGATTCCTGCTGATAACTGTATAGATGGTAATGCAGTATTAGGGGCCGATGACCATTCAATTCAATGTAAAAGATGTGAGAAATGTTTAAAATGCTTAGGTTGGTCAATCAAGCTATACCAGGCACTTGCAAATATGCATTCAGTCCATAGTTTTGCCAAACATGTGAATCCAAAGCAGTAGAAGCAGTGGCAACCGATAAGTCAATTGAGGAGAGGGTAGCTTATCTTCTGAAAGGCGTTGATAACAGAATAAATAATTTAGAAATGAGTATGAAAACAGACTTGGCGCAGATTAATGCTAAGGTAGAGAGGTTACTAGAGGGTGAGGACATTCATTTAGATTTCGAGAGAACAAATTAGGAGAGAAGTTAGCGATGAAATGCAAGAAATTAAAGATAGAGAGGCCCGCAAATTGAACATTATTGTCTAGAATTTTGCAGAGCCAGACAGTGATGATCAAACCCAAGAATCTAATGAGGATAAACTCAATGTTGTTAAGCTTTTTGAGGAAACGTTAAATATTAGGTGCACTAGAAGTTGTTCGTTTGGGTAAAAAAGAAGCTAGCAAGCTGATAAAGGTAGCCTTGGAATCCCTTAAAACAAAAAGGGAACTTTTGACTAACAGCAAGCTTCTGCACAATTCTGATAGTAGTACTAAGCATACAGTATATAAAGCCTGATTTAACACGAAGGGAGAGGGTAAAGAATAAGTTACTTAGAGACGAGTTAAGGAAAAGAAGAGGGGACGGAGAAAAGGGGTTAGTTATAAGAAGGGGCGAGATCATTAAAGTTAATGTTACAAAAAAGTACATAGGAACTTATTTGTTCTAAGAGAAATGAAATTTATTTGCAAAAAAGTAAAGTTTTTTGTTCTAAAACCGCTAACAGGCTATGTTATTATTAAATTATTATTTAGTTAATGCACTGTGAAAATTTATGACATCAATAGGCACAACCATTTGGTATTTGCCTTTGTAGTCAAACACTCATAGTTCTCAAAAATTATTTTAATTCTAATTATTCATTAAATGAAAAATCTTTACATTTCAGATACCTGTATGTACAAAGTGCAAAAATGTAGTGACATCATCATCATCGTCATCAAAGGGACTCCCCCCGATTAGGCTTTGCTCCACAGCGAAATCATCAGCATCCACCAGTGATACCAAAGTAGTCTCAGGTGAACAAGATGCTGCATCTAAACTACCACCTGTCCATGATGTACGTGAGAAATTCATCCCCATGTCAAGAAGGAACCTAGTCCGACAGCTTATCCAAGAGGAAGATTTTTTGAACGATGACGAGAGGAAAAGATTTGAAGCATTTGCAGTTTCTCTTGATAATGCAATTGTCAACCAATACCATAGCACATTATCAGAGTTGAAGGTTTGTGTATTGAAATTTCCCCTCGAGCATAAAAGAAAATAATGGAATCGCCCCTCGTATTCATGCAACGGCCGTAGGTATGCGTGCAGCACTCAAGAAAATAATGTTCCTGAATACGACTGGAGATTCCGTTTTTTGCTTGCGGGTATGCTACAGCACTCAAGAAAATAATGTACATGAATACCACAGGCGATTTCATTATTTCCTTGAGGGTATGCTGCAGTTTCACCCATCATACACAGCCTGTGCGTATTGTTGGTATTCAGGCACAGGGCGGAGGTATGCACTCTATGGAGTCCCTGCTCTAGTTTCATCAATGCAAAAGATTTGTTTATAATAATTTGTTATGTGTTTTATTATTTTATCATATCATGTGTGTACGGTATTGTTGAAGAGTTAAATAATAATTTGATTATCTTTATATGTAGCTGTAATTTAGTGTTAATAATTTATTAATATCTGAATCACTATAGATTTTAACATTACTGAAGTAAATTTAGCCTAACTTAAATGAGTATGAAAAATAATTTGATTACAATGACTAATTTTTTTTCTACTTTCAATATTTTATTTATTATTATACTATTCGTAATTATATTTATTATATAATATTAATTTGGATTGTCTTGCATTTCTTATTCCATAGTCGTTATTTGATCCTCTGAATCCAGATAAAGATACCATATCAAGTCAACAATTGTCCAAACAGGAGAAAATGGACAGTGAGTTTTGGCTTCTACAAAAGCTTTCCTCTGTTATGGAGAAGGCCAACTTCCATGAACTTCCGAAGCATCAGGTTGATGAAGCTCTTGCAATCCACGCTGCTGGAGAGGGTGTGATGGTGAGTTACTTAAAGATATATTCACGATTCAATATTTTTCTTTATTTGTGTCCTTTTCAGAAAATCAATTGGTACATCACATCACAAAAGAGTGAAAAAAGAACAAAAATATAATTAGTCCCCAAAAACTATTTAATATCATTTTGAATTTAATAGTGGTAATAATGAGTTGATGATATTTACAGTATTTGTTCTACAAGTTTGTGATTTAAGCCTTTCACCCATGTGTAGCCAAGTAAAAAAAAAAAAAAAATTTAAATTTTATTAAATTTTTAAATTACTTTATTTTGTATATTTATTTAAGTTTTTAAAAGTTGTGTTCATATGTACAAGTGCTATAAGCCACTGCTTGAATGTTAGAGATGCATTTCAAGCCCTCTCTAATAGACCTCACACAGTTATCATTTGATTCTCATGGGAAGGCAGGTTTTTCTACTTGTTAAATATGCATTGAAAATGTCAGACAGCTTTGTTGTATGCCATTAGTCTGATTCTCTGCACATTACATTGTATAGTTATCTTGTGTTTCATTTTTATCAGGTTAGTGTGGACACTAAGAACTATGATGTACTTAAATTCTGGGCACTTGGTAAAGGGGCACCTACCATAAGGACACCATGGTATACTAGGCTAGCATCAGGCGCATTCTACAAAGTCACCAAAAAAACACCACCAAATCCAATTAAGTACTATAAGCGTGTTGTAGTTGCGGTGAGGACAAAGAATTCGCAAACGCTCATGCTGAAAATGTTCAAAGAGGTTCCTGTCACAGCGCTTGAGCAACTGCTGCCCGATGGTAAGATTCAAATGACGAAGCTTGATCAAGGTATACTTGCCACGATGATTGGCATCGGCACGCTGAGCATCCTGGTGAAAAGCGTTAGCTATCTAGCTGATTTGAAGCTACAATGGACATTAATAGCTGCCTCAGTGACTGGACTTGTGGCGTTGAATGCTTTTAACAGTTATAAGAATCGGCGGACGCGGTACATGGTTCAACTGTCGCGGATGTTGTATTATAAGAATATAGCTAACAACCGTGGACTCTTGACGTTGCTCGTTGACCGTGCCGAAGATGAAGCGCTAAAAGAAGTACTTCTAGTGTACGCATTTCTTTTAACTAGTAGAAATTCTTCAACTGTTCTTTCAGATGACAGCCTTTCAACAAGCAGTGCTTTATCAGTAATTGGTAAGCTAGCAGTTTCTCATGTTTAAAGTTTCGTACACAATATCAAATTTTCTTTCGTATGCCCATATATAGTCATGATGTGCCTATATATGGTCATGATGTGATGTCATCATGACCATATATAGGCATGTCACATGTTTTTGTCAAATAAAACCTGATAGTCTGGATAGTGCTTTACATGTCATTAATTTTAATATTTAATTTCAAGTGCAGCTGTGACTTCATGGTTAAGGTACCTGTCTTACAATTTGATGCTTCTGGGTTCCAATCTTTTGAAAATCTGGCCATAGGGCCATATTTATTATTGGCAAAAAATGAATTTATTTTATCTTCATGATTTTGCATAAATCACATGATTTTGCTTTAATATATTTTTTATTAATCATACAACAATATATTTTTTTTTAATTCCTTTCAATTTTCCAGATGAAAAAATACTTAAAGTCATATCCAGTTTGACAAAACCATGTAATATGCCTAAATATGGTGATGATGACATCACAACATGGATGATGATGAGTTATTTCATGGAAATAAATTAATGAGATGGTTCCTTTTTCAGGTGGATTGTCAGTGTCAGAACTGGAGCATACCATTGAAGCTTGGATTAAAAATAAAACTGGAGGCAACATACGCTTTGATAGCAACAGCGCCACCACGCTTCTTCAGAACTTTGGTATAATGGTCGATGATGACGACTGTCTTGGAGTTGTGCCCATAGATGCAGCTCTTTTGAGTCTGCCTAGGCAGCCCGTCTCAATTCTTGAGCGGTCAAAGGAATCGGATTTAGAGGAAGGTTATGATAAAGTATTCTTTGAGCAAGATTCAAGTTACAAATTTCAAGACAGAAAGCAGAAAAGGCATGGGTGGAAATGATTGCATAAACAAATGGTAACACGTAGCTAAAACAGTACAAAATATATTAACTTTAAATGAAAAAACATAGAAAATTAATAGATATTAAATAGTTTACCTTCTCCACTCATACTAGGTAAAGGTAAAGGTCAAACCTGAAGCTCTAGGCTTACAGGTCAGATTGCCCGTCTCTCTATCCTTGGCGTTTAGGCCACACTGCGCAAGTCTGTGGGGGTTTGACCACTCCTCCTGCACAGCAGTTATACCTTCCCAACATATGCTGGTACCTATTTATACTCCTGGGTAAAGAGAGACAAACGTAGATAAAGTTTCGGCCTAAGGACACAAGCGACTTGCACAGCGAGGGTTTCCAACCCCCCACTTCAATGTTGAGAGTCCGAGCCACAACTGTTGCGCCAACCGCTTTTACTCATCCTGGACACAAATTTAATCTATGAAAAAAATTGTATTTCGACTATCAGTCAATAAATGATTAATTAACGTCTAGTATTTTAGTGTTAGTGGATTTTTATCTGGCAGGCTTGTTATGTTTAATAACCAGTACGCAACATGAACTGACACCACCTGTCCACGATGTTGCCAATTTCAAGAGATTGTTTATTGTTAACCATAGAGGGCAGCATACTATAATTTATACTGTGTCAATAGACAACAACTCACCTCTTCTGATTAATACGTGTTCAATTTTATGTGGAGCCTTTTATACACCTTGTTTGTCGAGCCTGTGTCCCAAGTACACAACAGTCTCTCTCATAAACTCACACTTAGCTTTGTTAAACTTAATATCGTATTGTTTTAGATGATTAAGAACTTTATCTAAGTTATCCAAGTGTTCTTGGTCATTTCTACCCGTTATTAATATATCAGCTAGATTCAGTACACTTGAACACCTTGGCCAGATGGCTGGCACACTGGTTATCCTAGAGGGTAGTCTATTTTGATGAAATAGTCCATTTTCTGTAATTATGGCGAGTACTGGCAACTGGCAGGAATTGAACCCAGGACCCTGGGATTGGAAGGCAAGCATCTTAACCACCAAGCTATTCAACTCCACTCCACTCAACTCCATTCTTGTGAGACAAAACACACTGGTTTATCTTCTTGTAGTAATGTTGCACTTTCCCTATATTGGCTGCTGTCACACTAAATTGCAACCTCCCTTTGCAATTCGTAATACACTAGCAGTGGTGCGGTAACTATTAATGATTTAAGCTTATTAAATGCCGCACTATGATGTGGAAGCCATTCAAAATGGATATTCTTATCAGTTAGCCTACATAATGGTTCAGCTACTTCTGAAAGCTTAGGCAGAAACCTAGATAAGTATGTAATGTAACCCACGAAAACTTTTCTTGTCTTCAGGTGTGAGTGATCATTAAGTGCTTCATCATATATTTCACTGTTACCATAGATTACAAAATCATCAGCGACAACTTCAACGCCCTTTCAAATTCTCAATTACATCATGAGCATGACATTGCATTTCATCAGTCCAACAACTTATCCCGTATGGGAGACGAGTGTACCTGAAACGATCAAACTCAGTACCAAATGTAGTCAAGATACTACTTTCTTCAAGTTCAATTTGGGAAGGGAGGGTGTGGTGGACCGTGCATTTCTTTACACTAGTATGGGCTTCTTTTCAAGATAGTACTTAACATTCAGACTTATGTTATCTTTGAATGATTATGATAGCATGTGGGTCATCAATATTATTTTATTGCACTAGCGTGCTTAAAATTTTAAAAAATATTAGAATTTTGAATTCCGTAGTTGGAAAAATGTTGTGCATTTCCAAATATTTACAGCATTCATTTTGGAAAGAAGCTCCCCTTGCAAAAGTAGTCTCAAAAAGAAGCCCACCCAAGGGTGCTAAAAAAATGCACAGGGCTTCTATTCGAGGTTTTACAGTATACCTGTAGTTCGGATGACTGAAAATATTAAACCACACTGATCTATTGTTCTGATTTACCTTTACAATTGAGGTACAGTATATATATTTTATTCCTAGATGTTATTTTAATTTAATAAAAAAATTGCCTTTTTAACCAGTTGATGGTATGTATGACAGAATGGAAACATTGGTGCAATGGTTAGCTCGGACTCCCAGTTTTGAGGTTGGGGGTTCAAAGCCGTTGCTGTGCAAGGTGCTTGTCTTAAAGCAAGATGCATTACCTACGTTTGTCCACAGAGCTTAAGAATTTGACCTTTACTATGCAGTCAGTGGTGGCACCAGGATTTGCCTGTCGGCAGTCCGAGGTCCCCAATGTGAGGCGGTGGCGGCCGATGTGCCTAATGAAAAGAGTAAGCCTGGTCGGGCGTCACTCAAAATCTTTTGAAAGTGTTCCAGGGGTAGAAACCCCCAAAAAATAATACAGTTTAGGGGTTTCTAATGCTTATTTATTCAATTTGGGGTCTACTAATATGTAGAAAATACATATACATTTTTTTCTCCCTGACAAATTGTTGTTTTTCTCCCCGATGGAGGGGGAGCCCTGCCTCTGGCCCCTGCTGGCTCCACCCCTGTATGCAGTATGACAAAAGGTTGTTCCCCTTTTGCCAAGCCAGGTTTGGAAAGGGGCTGCCATATAGGCATGTTCCCAGAGTGGCACATAATAAAATATAACAAACATTTCAAATTAATTTTCAAATTGTTATTGGATAAGAACCAGCCTCAGCTTTGTGCAGTTGTGGGAGGTACAAGCATCATTATATAAATTACAAAAGAATAGTGTATCGGCTAGATACTCATCCCTGGTGCATATGGAGCTCCATGAAAGACAAGGCTCTTCTCTATGGCTGTGAACGTATGGCTGTGAACATGCTAATTTAAAGATTTTTTTTAATGTTAGTTACTGAACAAAAATATTTCTATCTGTGCAACATAATCTAATTGCATAAAATGATGTTTTATGGTTTTAAATACATGCAAAAGAGATAAGCCTGTGTCAATTTATAGTTGCATTTGTTTTTTGCTTAATTATTAAATTACTGAGAAGATAAAGCATTACTTGCAAATATACAATCAAATTATAAATGACAGTGTATTTTTTCTTGTCATCATCATTTCCCAGTGAGGATGCATCTTGTGAGCTGCTATCTACATCAGGAACACTGTGACACTATATCTTGCTCAGCTTTGGGGCCCCTCCCCTACATGTTATCTTATCTTTATTTTTTTTAATCAACAAAAAAATCTGCATCTTTCTATAAATGGGGATGCTAACTGCATCATTGAATGGCTAGACACCAGTAGCAGAGGTGGCTCCAGGAAATTGCCAACAAGGCATCCAACAAGGGAATTCAAACCAAGAGGCTGCCTAGGGCTCTACATTTGTCCTTGTGGTACCCCCATGTCTCCACATGCTGTCCCACAGTTTTCTCCCTTGAATATCAATTGTTAACACGTCTGCTTCCAATCCAAGCCCAATGAACATTTAAAATAGTTTGTGTGCAAGGTTTCACAAGCACAAGGTTATAAGTAATTCATCGCCCTCTAATAGGCCTTGTGGAAGAGTGGCATATCATGTGTAGGGGTGCGTAGTATGAGGTGATTTCTTTGCTTCTAAAATATTCAGTGGGGTGAAGTTTGGCATGCTAAATAGATGCTCAATATGCATTGACTTGCGTGATGTGCTTGTAGTTTGTATTCAGTGGGGGGAAATGGGGAAAGTTTGGCATGATAAATAGATGCTCAATATGCATTGACTTGTGTGATGTGCTTGTAGTTTCCGTTCCATTTTTAGTTTCTTTGTAACATCAATGCGATTCATTTTACATTCAAACTAGTTACATTTAATTTACACTGACTTCCTCCAACAATAATAAAGAACATGCTTCTTAAAATTGTATACAAGTTAGATTTTATTAGCTAGGATACAAACACATAGCAAAACATTAAATAATAAAGATAACATTAGAACTTAGCTAAATCTGTTGGTCATATATTTGATATAAACATTTTGGTAACAATAAAAAGGTTACAATGATTCTAAATTTAATAGTAACAGGCAATTCCTTTATCGATATTCTTACTACAGTATTTATAAATGGTTTCTTTTTTTTTTTTACCTTTATTGTATATTAAACATAAATATATTAGAAAGGCACTAATGTTCTACATTGAAATTAAAATGTTTTCATTATACATATACAAAACAGCGTAGATAAAAACCAAAAATGATGGGCAACATGATTAGCAGTATACACTGTAGACATATACACTATAATATTTATTTTGCCTTTATAAAAACAATATACATAAAATAAAGTATATTGCACAAATCTTTCAAATACCTTACTTTCAGTGTTTAAAAACATTTAAACTAATATAAACAAAATAAATAATATTAAATATAATATTAATATTCAGCACACATCTGATGCAAGCAGTGTGCAAGTTGCTTAAATAATGAACATAAAAAAACAAACATAGTATAATATTTACCGTGAACCTAAATTACCCAACCTGCTATGACATGACAACAGAGTACAGCAGTGTTTGCCATCAATTGGTAAAAAAATAATCAGTCAGCACCCACAGCCAAATAAAGTTAATTGTTAGCTTAACGTCTGGGATTTAAAATTACTATTTGATGAGGGTATTACTATCCTATATATTAGTGGTTAACAGGCTGGTAAATAATAACAGTTATTTAAAAAAAAAGTAATATTAATCTTTGTAATGTATTCTGTGATTTATGTTTCCATGTCTTAGGCTTTAAAAACAATCAGATAAAAATGTTTTTTAATAGCAAATAATACATTTTTTTATGAGGCTCCAAAATTGAGGGCAGGACGTGAAACTATAAATTATTTTATTTGGCCAAATTTGCAGAATGCCTCTGCATGGCAGCATCAAACTAAAACAAAGGTCTTTTAAAATCACAAATTTCTAAAATGGTGGGAAGAGCTGCATACAGAGTTTGTGTATATTCCAAATACTATACTTGCAATCAATAATGCCATGTTGTAGCACAGGTTTTTCAAATACAACTGTTTATCGTTATCATGGAAAAATACAGTACAGTATACAAAACAGGAATCTACACCTAACATTGTTTCTTTTAACTCGAAAGAACTTTTACTTCCCAATTGTAAAAAAAAATACACTTAGAAAAATTATACATACAAAAATATCTGATTTTCACATCATGTGAAAATCATGTGTATTAGCTCCAATATAAATGCCAGTAAAATATTTTTGGTATAATTGAGTTTGTACATCACGTATAATTTGTAGCTTATAAGTATGTGTTTATAAAAGGCTAAGTAAATAGAAGGATTTTTTTTTTCCTGTGAACTTCAATCCATAATGGAAGACAATAACATGCATTAATATTACTGATCATGCTTCCTTGTATATATACGTATTACGGAGCTTTCGGTCATGACTGTCATGACCTTTGGACCAATTCACTTGTCTGAGAACGTTTTAAATTTTCTGCACAATGCACATTTGACCCATTGAACATGTCCTGACGAGAACTTTGGATAATATTTGGATTGTTATGCGAAATCTTTACTTCGCTGATATTAAAAAGCTTTGCGTGAATAATAATAATAATAACAACAAAAATCATCAAACTTTTCGGTACACCATTTGTAGGAATATGGTTCTTTGGAGGTAAAACCAGAAGTTGATTGTCTCAAAGTTCAGGAAGCGTTTTTCTGACCTTTATCACATAAAGCTCCTTCATATAAAAACCCAGCAAACTTTTATACAAAACATACAGAACTTATGTAAAACCTAACCATTTATTTGTTTCCTTAATTATAAGTTAGTCAATCTAATTGCATTTTACAACAAAATATGACTATAATGCCAGCATTATATAATAATATAAGCACATGCTTCTTTAAAATATATATGATATATAAATATATTTAAAATATGAATTTATATACTTTACTGCCTGTATGTTAATCTGACCAGGAAAACACTGGTACAAATTCCTTCAACATGCATATCATTTGCATAAAAATTAAGGAAGTCATAAACTTACAATGTGCACATGTGATACTATCCACATGTGATACTCTACACATGTGATAATGTACACACGTGGTACTCTACACATGTGGTACTATACACATGTAAACACCTGTGATAATTTACACATGTGATACTATACTGTACATAGATGACTGCACATGTAATATGGTACATACACAATACAGTGATGGTATACGGTACATGTGATACTGTGTAGTACACATGTATCACTATACGTACACAGTATGATACTGTATACGTGTGTGATACACTTATAAAGTGATACTGAATAATGAGTAATGTTGTGATATATATTGTTTGATACTGTACATCTGTGATAACATACAGCGATACTGACCAGGCACATGTTGTGCTGTACACCTATTATAGTACATTTACTGTATACATGTGATACTTCATACTTGTGGAACTGTATGTGTGGTTGTACACATACCGCTCTCCAGGTTTCATCATAAGATCCCTGGTATCTTGAGCTTTATTTTGTTGAGACTTTTTTGTAGACTCACAAGTTTGTCCTCCTTCACCTTCTCCTCCTTGTAGTGAGCATTAATATTTCCAATCAACATTTCAATTTGAACTGAAAAGATTCCAGATACAGACATTTTAAGTATATTGAAAATTCATTGGTGATGAAACTGATCATATAAGAATTAATGTACTTTGTTTTAATTTACTTTGCAAAATTTATTAACCTAATGTGTGATGGCATACAAATTACTGCCTTATTATGTCTTTAGTATTTGTGCATAATGAGTGTTGCAAATGGGCAATTTGTACATGAAACAACAGCTTAGACAGTAGTACAGTATAAACTGTAGTTCACAGGAACAGCCTTTGATGAAATAGAACTAAGCACAGGGGCGGATCCGGATGTGTCCGAAAGGCGAAGGGAGAGGGGGTTGCAATTGAGAGACAACACTACCCAATATTTTCGTTTCTAGATGCCCGGAATTAACGTTTGAGGCACTTTGGGCAAACAATAATTTTCTTTCTTTTTCTTTTTTACATTTTCATGTTTCTTCTTTTTCAGCCTTTTTTTTTCTGCAAGCCCTGTTGAACATTTCTTTATAACGGATATGAGCGCTATACAAATATTTATAATTTTTATGAAACTCCATTGTTCACAGGCTCTTTTAGCACTTGTCCACAGTTATCAAATTAACTTTCAGCATATTTTGTTTGCTATCAAACAATAATAAATAATGTTGGCCTAACACTAACATTATTATTATAATAATGTAAAATAGTGCTCGTACAGAGAACATAACATGAAGGTCGTATCGGGCATATTGTTTATAGAAATACCTCGATGGGAACTACTGAAATGATTTTCTTTTACAAAAAAAAGTTGTATGCCCATAATGCACTTTATTCTTAACGCTTGTCCGACCTTCACTCAAATTTTGTTCCATTATATTTAATTCTATTTCCATCTCCCAAAGTCAACGAATCAACAGAATTCATTCTAAGTTCTTGCACTACATCAGTCCTGAACTTAACTGTATTGGCCAACTTAATTTTTTTAATATTAATCTGAAATCCAATCCCTTTGCCAGAAGAAAATACTTTGACTTAATATTTCTTTTTAAATGTATTAATAATTATTTCAACTGTAATTTAATTTCTTTAGATTTAAAGTTCCTAATCGCAGACTTTGTAATATTAGTGCTTTCTATGTTTCCTTTTCCAAAGTTAATATTTGCAAAAATTATTTTGTTAATCGTATATTTTGTTAACGCTTGTCCAGAAGTGGATGTTTTTAGTAATTCATTAGCAGTTTTTAAGAGGGTTACATTTCCAAGTTATTTTTTTAAATTTTTATTTTAAAATATTTATTAGATTTTTTATATTATATTATTTTCCGTACTTGTATTCTTTTCTTGCAAAATATGTGCAATGATGTTTAATTATCTTTTTATCTCGTAACCCGTCTGTAATGTTTCATGTTTTTTACAATCCTGTAAGTGGCGATTCTTGTTTTCACTGTTGGTTTGTTTTAGACAAATAAATAAACATTAGTCATTATGAAAACAAACTCACAGTCATTGAGGCTTCCTATAACACTTTGTTTCTCAACAAACTCTTCGCACATACTACGTGGAAGACCTAAATGCATCATGTTATGTGTGAAGGCAGCGAGTTGTCCAAACGTGATGTTCTCATGAAGTAGCTCCGTGTTTTCTCGTTCTTCCTGCGTTTGATTCCTCCAGTTTTCTCTTTAAAACATAATGTTTCAACAGCTATATAAAACATGTTTATTTTCCAATCAAATCAACATTATTATTATTATTATTAGATAATTAGGCCTACAGTAATCGTCAAATTAATAATTCTTCTAAAATAATTATCATTGTATCACATCCAGTAACCTATTATAACATGACAGTCATCATCATTAACCACCATTTCGGTTCTGTGATGACCTACTACAAAACTTTGTCACACCCCACAATCAGATGAGAATCTTCTAGAAAACCTCATCTCAAATTGAAACATCTAGGCCCAAAGATTGTTGTCCTCTTTGCAGGAGCATTACCACCAAAATCATTGTCATCTTTGTCATAATTTATTTATTATTTATAAATATTTCATTAGAGTAACATTAACAGAACTGCTGTATTAAAGAGTCCTCAACAATTACAAAGTAGTACAAGATGGAATAAATATATAAAATATATAACGGATATAAAAAATTGTATTGTCCATACCTGCCAGTTGGCATCCGTTTTTTCTTTTCTGAGTGAACAGCATCCATTAACGCTGCCGTCCAGAATCGCTGGTCTCTCCTGATAAACAGAAACATACCGGATTTAAGCAACGATGGAACAGGTGTGCAATTAACATTTGCTATTAAGACACACTTAATCAGTTGTCCCCTTACTATTTAGTATAATACAGATCACTGGCTTTTGGTATTTTTATGGTGATGACACCACAATAATTTTGCCATAAGCAGACAACATGTCTGATTTATGATGTTTACAGCATCAAATGAATTGATAATATAATATTGCTATACTCTAACTTCAAATTGGCTGGTTCCTAGACTGATATTACACACATGCAGGTCTTAGCGATGGTGAGCATAAAAATGGGTTGGATGGACAAAGCTGCACTAAACCTCATAAAATGGAGTAAAACGTGCAGGTTCTGGCATTAGGACACACGCATATTACATTTTACAAACGATCGGCATTGTGCCAAAGATGGTAGGCGGGCGACATTGGTTTTTAATATGTTTTTGCGGGATGCAACAAAACTGTTGTCAAGCGCCATTTATACGGAAGCACATGACACTTGTCGGCTATACCAAAAAATAGAGTATCTACAAACAAACTTTTTCACGTTAGGTTTCATTCTCTTTCAATATTCAATTGTATAATGTCTACAGATTTTCTTACATTATACATTATTACTATTATTAATCAAAATATGTACATTCATATTAATGTTTACAGTATATTAGTGACTAGGATAATAATGAGAAGACTTTTGGTATTATTATAATAATAATAATAATAGTTGGATTTGTAGAGCGCATCATGCGAAAAAGCCTCTTATAAAGCTTATAAATCCAAACATTATATAATAATAATATCCAAACATTATTCTTTTCGTTCTTTAAACAAATTCAAACTGATAATGTTAATTCTTTTTTTAAATTCCAAATAAGACAACAGAGTGTTCCTCAGGATATATTTTCTGGGGCTAAGCTGTCCGACAGGTGGGGCTGAATGAGATAAGAATAACTCAACTCAATAAACACGCATTTCATTTCATTAGCGCTGGCACCGCCACTGTTCCTTACTTACTTTCAGTAACTTTTCACCACTAATCGAGTGCTTTCATCAGACTGGCGCTAATCTGATGAAACCACTAGGTTAGAATTGAAACATTACTGATAATAAGTGAGTAACACTTCACTGTACTTTCATATTTGGAATTTTAAAAAAGACTTTATTTGTGGCAAACACAAGCCATAAACTAGTCACTCCTCGCAAATGTGTTTCAGAGATGTTGGAATGTCAACATTTTCGAAATCTATTTTATTGCACAAACTAAACTTTATATATCTAAACATCATGCTATGTTGTTATTTTCCTCATTTCTGACGTTAAAACAACATTTTTTTAACAATTTGATGATAGTCTCTCTCTGTGAGAAATGGCCGAAATTGTAAAGTTTGAAGGCTGATTTCTCAAAACTGTTCTTTAAACAACTGTATGTTTAACTCCTGTAACTTCATATAGAAATGTCAGATTTACAGTAAAAAAAAAAAAAAAATAAATAAATAATAATAATAATAATAGTGTAGTTTTATATAGCGCACATATCCATCTAATGTAAGATGCTCAGGGCGCTTGATATGTGGACTAGGAACTCGATCAATGACTTTCTTCACCCCCTAAGGGTCCCCTCGTGTCTGTGCTACCCGGTAACCCGGTACCAGCAACTCTTGTTGTCCACCAAATTATTCTTTTACCATTTTATAACTTTCATTTTACTGAATCCCAGTATTAATATCTAAAAATTTATTTTTGCGAGGACTGACTAAATCAGTTTTGTTTGTCTTGCAACATTTGTTCATTGTCATCGGTATTATTTTAACTTCATTGTCATCTGTATTATTTTAACTTCATTGTTCATTGTCATCGGTATTATTTTAACTTCATTAGCTTGTTATTGTAGATACACATAACAACATTTCATAAGATCTTGCTAATTCAGTCCTTTTTATTTAGGGAATTGGAAATTACTATACTATAATACTATAATTCAAGGAAAAAGGTACTATATATATAATTGTACTGTGAGTGGACGCATGCCCTCGACGGGGCAACGACCGATTGCTCAGTCCACCCATAGACTCATAGAGTGAACCCTGTGGAAAATTAGTTTGAGTTGAACTTGGGTCCTCAACAGTGAGAGCTTGCACAACGTTAAAAGGTCTCTTCGGCCTTTCAGGTCTTTCTGCCTGGAAATCACTCCTTGATGATTGAGAGGTCATGGTAGTTGAAGAGTGCACAGCAATTGTGGAGCAACCTGCCGATGCAAGTTGGTTTGAAGAATATCGGTGAGAGTTTGACTGAGAAACTCTGTGATCTAATGAATGATTAGTGTTCTGTCTCTTATACACATCTAGATGTGTATAAGAGACAGCATTTATATGAGTAAGTTTATTCTACAAAGCACTTTAATTTGATAAATAGGTTTATAGTAGATAAATTTTTCATACCACATACCAATTCGGATTCTGATATTGGTCATGTGCATATGAACGCAATGTAAAGGTCTTTCACTTATACATTGTCATTGAGGTTTTTATCAATTAAGGTTTTACCTTCTTGTTCGTGATAGAAAGTGAAACACATATTCATGATGTGCATAGCTGGGGTGAAGTCATCAGCTTCTTTACACCTGAAAAATAAATAAAAATTATTATTTTGATTTGTGTCCGGAAAATAGCCTGACGTCATAACAACTGGACCACCGAGCTTGTGCTTAGTGAGTAGTGTTGAATCTAATTCCCAAGCTGCAGCAGGCACTGCAAATGCTATTTTGATGTGTGTTTGCATCAGGATTCAACACTAGTCACTAAGTGCAAGCTCGGTGGGCTAGTGGATATGACACCAGGCTAGTTATCAGGAGGTTGTGGCTTTGATTTCCACCTCAATCACTAGCAAATGTATTTTATTTTAAAGTATTTTATTTTTTATTTACCGTATTTCAAATAATCATCCATCAAAAACGATTTTTGTTTTCACTTACAGACAAAAATTGCAAAAAAACACATCAAAAATATAATACCACAAGGGGGTATAATTTGGAAACATACTTAGTTCAGTACGATATCAGGTCACATAGGGCAAAAACGTCACTCCTATGAATTTAAGTATTTCGTTAGCCAGTTTTTAAACAATGAAAAGTTAAAAATCCAAATAAATTCACTGTATAAATATCAAACCCACCTACCAAGATTACCCTTCAATACTGTTGTAAGTTAACCTATATATTAATGTTTATTTTGTTTCATTTCAACTTGGCAATATGGTACATGATTCTTCTCCATATGTTTTATGACCCTCGACCCTTATAGCAAGTTCACATGACTCCAGTATCAATTTAAGTACGTGCATTAAAAACACGTAAAAATACAAGAATGCTGAATGTGGTTCCGCTGCCATTTCTTCATGTTACATCATACACTAACATACATCTAATAAGGAAACTAAATGTTGAAACATAAATGAATCAACAGTATAGGTTTCACAATGCATTTCTCAATAGCATGATTAAATATCATATTTTTTAAATATATACTTGCAACAACAGGCATTTATTTTCAAGGGTTTATTTAAAAAAGTACCATTATGTATAGAAAATTTATTACTATACAGTACAAATTATATATAAATTTACTATACATATTATTGTCACTAAATAGTTTGGTGGCAATGCATGAGAGGATATGCCCTTTAAATGCCATAGAGTATTCTATACTGTATTGTTATTTGATGATTGCTGCTATTTTTAGTTAGGTTACATTTATATATTTTGAGATATAACTCCTGGATGTGCACAACCCAATTCGAGAGTCATTTTAAAGTTACTATAATACTTTGAGTAAAGGCATTTTTTATTTTAACAGAATATAGGCCTACTTAAATGTTTATGGATTTTTACAATTTTGTTTTATTTACTAAAAATGCAAGAGGGTGGTGAAGAACAGCCTTGATGGCAATCCTTAAACCTGGCAAAGGTGACTGCCATATTATGTGCAAGACTGGCCGACATGAGGCTCTGTTTTTCTTGAAAACTTGGCTCGAAGCAGAAAGGTCAGGCGAGGTGAAAATAAACATTTACAGGCATCTGTAAATATATATACCAGTTACTGTGGGTTATCTACAAGTGTTAAGAGTGGAGTTGCTTTATAATGCTGAGAAAATAATCCTTGAGTTGAACCCATGCAATGTATAATGAGCATATTAACATTCAAATTCTCAATGACAATTATATCTATTTCAAACTCAATTCTCAAATCACTTTGATAGCACATAACAGGGGCGAATTCAGAATTTTTGAAACGGGGGGGGGGGCACAACAGTTTCAGAATAGGTATATCAGTAGTACATAACATTGATTTGCATTGAAATTTCTAAATTAAGTGGCAAAACAGGGGGAAGGGGCACCCCCCCCCCACCGTTCCTCTACTTTTGCAGAAATGAAATTCAATGAATTTATATCTATCAGTAAATTCAAACTCAACCTAAAATATTTTTGACACCAAACAATGGTTTAAAGAATGGAATGAATTGCATTACAACTCTCAAAGGAATTGCTTTATAAATACCTTAACATAACAACATCATAAATCCAAGAAATTGCTCCTGTTTTTTTCCATCTAAAACATTCTTAATCAATCAGGTATTTCACCCAAAACAGTAAAATATTTAATTTTTGCTCAAGCACTCGCCACGAAAGTTTTCAAAAAACGAATTCTAAGGAAACTTAAAGGCAGCTGTATTCGACTGAACATTCTTTGTTAAACCAAGTCCGTCTGCGCAGTGGTAAAATCCTACGAAGACGACCAGACGAATAGAAACCTGGTAAATACTCGACAAAACAAAGTGGTTATGTAGTTACCAACATACACATTAGCATAATGAAGGTTGCTTCGGCTTGTAGCAGTATGGGTTTTTCCACACAGTTTTTTAATTCTGTTAGCCTAAAATTATATTTTGACTTTATGTGGGTAAATATATTATAATTATTATTTTCTGAAATTTAATCTAAATTATATTAACACAAATGTTGTTGCTAAACTGACCATTCTGCCATGTTTGTTTTGGTCACATGGATAATTATGAAGGCTTTATGATTTGAGTGTTTTACTTGAAAATCTTTTGTCGAATTTTTGTTAATAAATGATAGAATGACCATAATGTTACGTTTACAATGTGTGAAACGATATGAGGATTACATTGAACGAGTAATAATCAATATTTACTGTCGTCGGAAATTAAATAATAGTAAATATATATTGCCAAGCAATAGTTTGAACAACATGGCATATGAGCATGTAGCTACTGTGTTCTCAGCAAATATTATAAGGTGACTATAATACTGTTAAGAGGTTCTTAAGAGCAAAAGGAAGTAAACTACTGTATCGATAGCAACCATTGCCTTCTAGGCCATGGCTGATTGTTCAACCGGTGGCCTGAAAGCTGCTGGGGTTAGATTCCATTCCATTTTTTATTGCTTTCAAGCAGTCTTGGGTTTTTATGCAGGCTGAAGTTTCCATTAGTCATTTTTAGACAATATTATTACAGACACTTGGCAGTGA